CGAGTGGTAGCTGGAGGAATAATTTCTCCTTTGCAAAATTCACGCATCTTTGCCAACAACCAACCGTGATTGTAAATATAATTTGTGATCGTTCTAGCTCTTTTTACCACAGTAGCAACATTCTCTCTCTTCCCCACTGCCTCAAACATGAGATCAATACAATGTGTTGCACATGATGTCCAAAACACATTATAATGCTTCATTAACTTTTTTCCAGCTTTGACAAATGCAGAACCGTTGTCGGTCACGACTTGGACAATATTATGCTCTCCTACCTCCATGATTACATCCCTCAATAATTTGTAAATATACTTGTAGTTCTTTATATGGTCTGAAGCATCAACAGACTTAAAAAAAAATTGTCTTTCCCTTGGAGTATACCATGAAGTTTATGATAGACAATCTGGTCGGGCCGGTCCATCCGTCACACATGATTGTGCAACCATTAGTTTCCCACTTTGACCTCAACTTGTTAACATACTCGTCAATGTCTTTATACTCCATATCCAAATATTTGTTTCTTATCTCATAGGGAGTGGGAGGTTGTACTCCAACACCGGCCTGTTGACATCCCACTACCATATTTTTGAAATGATGTGATGATGCTTTCTCAGCAGGGACATTTTCATAGATAAAGAACTTGCTAATTTGACGCCCCATTCCCTCCTTCACATTACCTCCAGTGAAATAACTCCAAACACTCTTTTGACGTGCTTTGGATGACTTATATAAACTTGGGGCTATTGGTGGTGTTGGTTGTGATTCTCTAAGACTGCCTCCCCGTCTCATTTGTGCACCACCACTTGTCCCGGAACCTTGTGCTCTATTAGGAATTTTATGAAGGTGTTCTTTTCCCATGCTGACTGTTTGGAGGTACGTAATGCTTGTTTCAAACTGCGTTGTTCTTCAGGTCCCATGTCATCATCACATTCGTCCTCATCGTCATCATCATCACTGTCAACCGCTTGGCCATAGACTTCTCCCCGTAGCCCAACTCGAATATTTTCAATTCCATGTGTTATCTTTTCCTTCTGCTGTTTTTTATTTTTTAATAATATGCTTATGAATGCCTTCACTTATGGGGGGACATTATCGCATCGTTGGACTTTTTTGCTGGATCTAATCCACTAAGATGGTACTTAAGTCGTGTCACTCCGCCACTCTTCATTACCCGACCACAATATTTGCAAATTGTGCCATGTTTGTTTCTGTCTATTGGGTCTCCATGTTCCCAAGCTGGATCACGTTTAGTAACTCCACTGGACATCTTAAACGTACCTATATTTATTTTTCATGAAAATTAGGCAATTATTTTTTGGCCAAAAAATAAAGTAGTGACAGAAACATATTAAATAGGAACTAAAGAAAATAGGAAGTAAAGTTATTTTACAGAAGAATTAAATAGGAAGTAAAGAAAATGATTGTAAGAATTAAGTAATTATAAAAATAATATGGAATAATAAAACCTAATATTAATGAATAATAATCCAATTTGATAATAAAAGAATAAATAACATTAAACATATTAAAATTATTCTAGGGAATAATTATACAACTTAATTACTTCAAAAAATTAACATGCAAGTATAAATTACAATAATATAAATATAAGTTCGTAAACTTACCTTAAATATAGAATCCTTTGTGTTGAACCTCTGGAATAGATTTGGAATGACTCTGAAAGGGGTAAGGGAAGAAGAAGAAACGAAAAGGTGTATTAATTTTCGAATGGTAAAAAAATGTGTGATGATCTGATACTCCACCTCTGAGAATGTGAAAGAATAACACAGTGGCACACGATTTTGAATGGTCTGAAATTGTAAAAGTTATCCATGGTCTGATACTCCACCATTATTTTTGTCCATGTTCTGAAATTGTATAAGTTGTAATTGTAAAAGTTGTCTGTGTTTTGAATTATTTAGATGCTTTTGAATGAAACCACCATTATTTTTGTCCATGGTCAAAAAATGTGTGATCATCTGATACTCCACCTCTGAGAATGTGAAAGAATATCACGTGTGGCACATGGTTTTGAATCTTGATGCATGAAACCACCATTATTTTTGTCTTGTCAAAAATTGTACCATTCCTAAAAGCTGTAAAAGTTGAATTATTTAGATGCTTTTCTTTTCTCACACCGTCACACACCACCTACACACACACACACGCCACCGACACACACACACACGCACACACAGGGATCACACACGCCACCACATACGCACACCACACACGCACAACAACACATGCACACACGACTCGTCTCTGGAATCCAAAGTCTGGATCTTTCTCTCTTCTCCCTCTCCCTTCTCCCACAAACACACACACAGATCTCACAGATCTCTCGAATTCTCGATCCTTCTCTTTTCTCCCATACACACGCACAGAGACCTTTCTCGATCCTTCTTCCACATGGCATTCTCCTCCTCCCTCGCCTTCCTCCTTGTCCGCGTATTCCGCCTCGTCGGCAAACCCAGGAACTCTCTGGCGAGTTCTCTTGATCCTTTTCCGCCTTCCTCACCGATCCTACCGACAATAACCCCACCTCTATCGTTGACTCCAGTGACGACCACCACGACCCCCAATCGCCCCCAAACCCCAACCTTAACCTCCACAACAACCACCCATTCTCCTCTTCCCCCCGGAGCCTGCCCTGCCGGCGCCGCGCTCGCCTCCGTCTCTGTTCCACGTCTGCTTCAACCAAGACCACGCCTGCTTCGCCGTGGGGACAGACCACGGGTTCTGGATCTACAACTGTGATCCGTTTTGCGAGCTCTTTCGCCGCGACTTCGACAACGGCGAGGAAATCAGCGTCGTTGAGGCGCAGATCTTGGGTTTGAGCATGGATTGCAGAGAGATCTGGGCAACTGGGGGGACGACGCAGCCTCGGCTGCCTTTCCGACGACGAATCCACGACGACTTTTTCGATAATATCGAATATATCGCGATATTATCGATATTATCGATAATATCGTAATATTTTGACGATAATGAGACGGAAACGTAGGAAAATATCGGAGCCTCTGAAAAATGATAATATCGGTGAAATATCGCCGATATTATCGATATTTAATACACTGGTTATGCAAGAGCTGACTACTTTTTTCCCCCACTTTTTCGACTTTGAGCAATTGCAGTGTTTTAGCCGAATTTGCTAAATTTTTTTGTTTATTTTTAAATTAATTATGTATGAATTTACTTTATGTTATATGAATTTGGTATAAACTTGAATAGAACTTATATCTGCAGGTTGAATATGCCATTTGCCAACTATTTTTTTGGTACAAGAAAAATATTACATTATATACACACAATGCAATATGATAGGTCTCTGGAAAATGAACTACATAATGGTATTTACCCATCTGTTTATATACATGTTATATTAATAGATATAATGTTATATGTAAAACAGAGCAATAGATGCCAAGCCAAAAGTGAGAATGGGTACGAACATGGAATCCATGCCAAAATCTCACATTTGTTCAGAGTGGTCTTGATGGAACATGGAATCCATATCACCATGCATACTAATTCAAGGTTTATTGTTCTAATTCTTAAATTAAAATAAATTGTCTTCACTCCGGTTCATGCATTTCTTAACTTCATATGCATAGATATTGATAAAAAAGAGCTTTAGGTAGGTCATTACTAAACATCTATAAATTTGTTAAAGCCTCAGGCTTCCAGTTATCAAACTACAGGTAACGACGGATTAGTAGATGTTTAGTCCTTCGAAATGTTGGATATATTGTCGATATTATTGATCAATTGAGAATTGGTTTTTTGGGTTTTGGGTTTATGAACTTGAATAAAATGCACATTAAACAACTTAGTTCAGATGTGATTGGATTCTTAACTTCAAATTTGGTTCCAGTTAATGGATGATATTGTATCTGTTCAATTACCTGGAATTTTCTTGCGAAAATGCCTTTGTTTACGGTTTTAAGATCTGGTTTATGATTCTCTAGGTACATGAAGGAAGTTTATATTATAAATCTTACTCTGTTGGATTTTGGTATTGTTCCTCAATCAATTTGAGAGATCTGTTTTATTTCTATGAATTATGGCAAAGAATAGGCAATTGCATTTAAACGGGTGGAGTACAAATACTAATGATGCAAGCACCTGAAGCTATGGTGATTCATATGCAATTTAGGGTGATTTAATTCATGAGTAAACAAATTATGTTTTTAAATTCCTTTTTATTTTGATTTTCATTTCATCGATGACATACAAAATAACGGAGGAGCCATTAACGCAGTTATGAACTTGGATATCTTTAGTGGAACAAAATTTTATTCTTTTGCAAGGACTAATGTTCAAAAGCCCCTAAATTTAATTCAATCCGAAACCATTTGCCTATGTAGTTATCACAATGAAATTTCATTGTTTTTTTATAGAACAAAGTGTTCGTCAATTTATTTGAACCCAATTCAATGTCTCAACTCTTGCACCACGGTGTGGGTTCGAACCCTGCGGGCTCCCTAATCTAACATCTAATCTAACAAATTTATCATTTGACAAAAAAAAAAATTAACATATAGAGTAAGCCCCATAACAATCCGTATTATTATTATTATTATTATTATTATTATTATTATTATTAAATAGACTAGCATTTCTGCACGCACCTTGCACGTGAGAAAAGACTTTTTTACATCACAGCGCGCTACGCGAGGAATGCCGAGTTTTTCCCCTCCACATTTGTGCATGCATAAAGACATCTGTACTACAAAAACACTTCGTACGTGTTCAAGTTTAAGACTTCCATATTTTGGTCTGAGTGGAAAAGGGTTTTTTTGTGTGAAGGTAAATGAACCATACTAATATAAACAAAATGAAAATTGAACCGTTAAATAGAAAAACACTAATATTTCATTCAATACAAAAAAGGAGTAACATAGATAAGGTGACAACGTTTGATAAATTGCTCTTATCGTTTACCTCCATATTTGGTCTGTTGAAGTCCACTTTAAATTTTTGCATTCCTTTATAAATAAAACAAAAATGAACATGATAATTTATTTATAAAAGAAAAGATAACATTAGAAGAAAAAAAATCACCATGACAGTTAAGCAACGCGAAAGTGATCTCAATAATGAAAATCCATGTCAAATATTTCGTAAGTACCACATGTTGTAAGGTTAGAGGATAAAGATACATCAATAGCACACCAAGCTCTGTTATTTGAGGCCCTTCACTTCAGTTCGTCGTCCCTACACAGCAGAAGGAAGTTCTTCAAATAGGTATCAATTGAAGAACAAATTCAACAACCGGTTGAATAACAATCATGCCTATAAAATAACGCATTCAGCGTCGTCGTACTTGACAAACGCCGACCCATCAAAGCGTCTCTCCACCAACTGCCCATGAAAAAGTATGCATCAGAAAATAGATGCTAATCAAAAGTCTGAGCAACAAATAAGAGAAAATTTTCCAAGCAGATCAACAGCCTAATTGAAGAAGAAAAAACCATGATCAATACCTCAGATGCTCCTTTCTTGTGATCAAAATTTGAAGAAGGTCGATGGAGATGGGCAGTTATAAGTGTTATTGACATCCTTTCTTAGAGAGAAGAATCGCAATTTCTTCCAATCATGCAACTCAAGAAAATAAACACCAAAAAGTAGTATTCCAAAAGAATTAACTTAAAGTCCCTCAAAAAATAAAAAAAATAAAAAAAAAAACTTAAAAGAGAAACAAATGGCATTAGTAAATAGCAAGGACATCACATCCATTCAATTCTAAAATTAGCTGATATTTCTCCAATGTTGCACACAAAGCAAACCGAAAAGGTCATGGAATGATTAAAAAGGCTAGCAAGGTTGAAAAATGGAAATATTGTTCAGTTATACATTTTCCCTCAACATAACGATTGGAAAAACAGACAAAACTAACCCATCTGTAATTGAACCCTTTTTGTGATGGAGAAAACTTTTTAGAACCAACCGAATAGTATCACCACAAAATTTTCCGAGCTTGAAGTGATTTTTCAAAGTCCAATCCTTCTTCGTAAATCTGCAAAGAAACAAAGAGAATGAAAAGAGTGAATCGGCAAACTTTCTACAAATTAAAGTCGATTTCAAGATCATGCAATCAGAATCTGAAAGAAAAACATACCTGTAAAGCAATAATGGAAGTCATTCAAGAACTCAACAATTTGTAGAGGAGTTGATGAAAGAAAAAACATACCTGTAAAGAATGAAGATCAGAAAGTTATTGATTACTTCAAAAAAGTAAATAAACCCAAGTAGATACTGAAAAGAATGAAGATCAGAAAGATTGATTACCCAAAAGAAACCCCAATTAGATACTAAAAAGAGGGAAATCAAAACCAAAGCACAAACCCAGTAAGAGTTTAGTTCAAACTTCAAAGCATCATATAACGGAAGCTGAAAAATCACTAAAATACATACATATATTTGACTAATGAAGAAAGAAATGAAATAATCAACAATCATGCATGAAAACAGAAGGAAATGAATTTAGTGAATGGTAGACACACGCTAGATGGAATTTAGAGAAAATAGTGTGTAACGCCCCGCCAATTTATTTCAGAAATTCACATTTAGAGGTAGGCCAAAAATGTCCTAGTTACCCTTTATGTCATTAACCCTACTAACATTTCCTTTCATTGACGATTTTACACTAATATTTAATCTCATTTATTTTATGGCTGCATCTAACGTCTCGTTAGACTGCTTACGTACCCTTCGGAGGGATCAAGTTCATCGTAGTTCACAATCCATTTTCTAAATCATTCAAGTGATTAACAATCACAAAACTAGGTTCAAACAAATGAATCACACCAAATGCATATCAAATATGGATTCAGAATATTGAAATTAGCTTAAAAAGACAGCATCGGCCCTCTGGCAAAGCACCACCGCAGGCGGTGGTTTTTGGCAAATTGAAAACCAGTTTTCCAATGAACTCCAAAAATTATCAAATTGTATAGGGTTGTAGAACACAACGAGGGAAATAATTTTCATAACTAGGCCAAAGTCTAATTTGGCCGAGAAACACCTCGAAAAATTTGGTGGCCGGAAATTATTGAGCCTCACCACTCCTCCGTCGGAGGTTTGATGATAGTGATTGTTGACGGGTTTTACTCCTACAAGGGAGAGCGACCAACCCTAAGTGGTGCGCCCCCGTGATCGATGTCGGAAATGGGGATAATTGCTCTGGGTTTTCCGGCGAGCTGTGAGTCTCTCGTGCTCCGTTCGTCAAATATAGTAATCCACATGTGGAAATGAGGTAAGGGCTCGATTGGGTTCGAAGTGAGGAACATTATGGCACCAGTCCTGTCGTCAACAGTGGCTAGAATAGGAAGATACAGTTGGGTCAGGTCGGTGGGTCAGAGGGTAGGGATCGGGTCAGACAGTTCTTCGTCTCCCTCATTTCCCTCATTTCTCTCCTCCCCTATTTGTCCCCTCCTTTCCTTCCTTTTATGATTGGTCCCTCTCCCCCTCCTTTCTTTCTCTTCTTCCCATCTCAGCCGCACATGTGGTAGCCAGAGCATTTCTCCAACAAATCTGGAGCATTCCAAATTTGTGCTCAAATGACCATTTTGCCATTGCTTTTAATCACTTATATCTCTTTAGTTAAAACTCCGTTTGGAGAACGACTTTCGCCTATACACTCGTGGGACAATCCTCTATCCAATTATGTCAAGAAATACAATAAAATATATGAGAATAAAATATGTCCTCGTATAATTATGTTGAGGCAACTAGAGGCATTTTCATCTTTTCACCTATTGAACAAATATACACCTAAAATTCCGCAAACAAATTTTAAAATTTCTCTATTAAATTTTCATAACCATAAATCGATTTATTTTCTATTTTCTCCACATATTCATAATTATGAATATCAAATTCATATATTTAAATTTTTTAGGGTATTACATAGCGAGTCTTTGTTGACCTGTCTCTCTATTTCTCCCTAGCCCTCGTTCTTTTCTCCTTGATTTTTGCACGACTACAAAAAATGAAGCTGAACTTTAAAACCCAGTGAAATTTAAACAAAAGGAAATACATACCCAGTGAAAATTTCCGTCTCTTCTTCTCTAAATCTAAAACCACAAACAGGTTTTTTGTTCTTATCGACACAAAGGTCCGGGTCTACAATTCATCCAATAACTGTTCACAATAACAAAATGTGTTAAAAACCAAAAATGGACGAAAAAGCAAAGAAGAAACAATCAAGAAATTAAGGCGAGGGAAGTGATAAACAATGACACTATAAAATTATAAAACCATATGAACCGGCGGTGGTGGTGGTGGTTCCGAACCAGCGGCGGTGGCTGAGTTAGAACAAGAGAGAAAGACAGAATGAGTGCTCGAATTGAGAGAGGAGCTTGGGCGAAGAAGAGAGATCAAAATTTTGTAACCGAACAAATGGAGTAGAGAAGTTATGAAGTTATGATGAAAGGGCGTGGGAGTTTGAAAACTGAACGGGAACTGCTGTGCAGTTTGAAAACTCAAACTAAACGAGAACTACCAGGCAGTTTGAAAACTAAATGTTGAACGTGGTGATTCTTTCTCCCACGTTATTATTTCTTTTTTTGTTTTTCCATTTTTTAATTCTGTTTTGTTTCTAATTTGTTTGACAAAACTATCCCTACTATTTTGATTGCATTAATTTCAGGAGATTTTTTTAGTTTCAAGGGTGTTTTTGTCTTAAATGTTTTGGTGAAGCCTTAAGACACCAAAATTGATTGTAGGCTTTCTAATATTAGAGATTAGAGATATAGACAACTGTTATCTTTCTTTTTTTTTTTGGTCAAAGATTGTTATCTTGATTCACGAACCCAACATAGTCAATTTGTTATCTTGATTCAACAAGCCATGAAAGTGAAAGCTTTGAATTCGCCACCCGATTGTTATCATTTTAATTAACGTGGTACTGTTAATTGAGATTACTGATTTTTTTTTTTTTTGGTGGGAGTGATATTTACGTTGATTATTTGTTTATATATAAATGTTAGAGACTAGAAAATGAATATTTTTTGTATACTAATTGTATCCCCACATATCCCCAATTGCAAATACTGTCTTGTTCGAATAAAATCAACAATAACAACCGTTCAGTTTATCCATTTTTACTTAAAGATCACTCATAAAAAATATCATTTGAATGACTAAATGATCTTCGGTACTTACACCTCTATCGGTTTGTTCTATACATTACTCAGTACCTACACCTCTATTGGTTTGTTCTATACATTTGAATGACTAAATGATCTTCGATTGAAATGTCAAAATGGTCCAAGTGTTAGTCCTCATGTTTTTAATTTGCATTTAGTCATCGTGTTTATCTTTGTTAACCAATTAAGGACATTGCATCTAATCTCTCCTAAAAATTCATAAAAAGATTATAACATTAATCCTTATCCCAAACCTCAACCTTAGCCACACAGGCAGGCAACTTGACGAATGTGTCTCTAGATCCGCTTTGACCAGGTGATGGTGAAATAAAACAAAGATGAAGAAATTGTTAAGTCCAGCGAAATATACGATTGTTATCTTAGTTATAACCCATGAAAGTGAAAGCTTTAAATTGGCCACCTGATTGTTATCTTTTTAATTAACCTGCAAATAGTAACACAACAATAATTCACATCCAGCCAACTATATTCAACAAAAAATTATGGGTAATTTTATTTGAACCCATATAATCTCTCTTTACATCCAACTTACTCTTTACACCCATCTTATTTTTAATTAAGCCATTAATATCTTTTTAAACCCTAATTTACTATCTAAACTACCCTCACAAACCTAATTCAATATGTAAATTTAGTTTTACACCCATTTAAAATTAAAACCCAAAATCAAAACATATGTTCTCTCCTTTCACATTCTCTCCTTCCAACAAGTCCATCGTCTTACATTTTAATTCTTCAAGATTTAACAGAAATCAAAATTAATAAGAATTGGCGAGAATTAATTTATTGTTTAGGTTTACAGGAGAATGGCATAAAGCCATCCTTTATGCAATTACCATGTTGGAAAAGCTTGATCTTCTGAGGCAAAGTAAAGGAGTGGGCAATTACCATGTTGGAAAAGCTTGATAACACCCTTTTTGGTCACTTTCTGATGCTTCTATGAGCAATTTGGGCGCAAGAAATTCTACGCTATGGAACGGGAAGATTGAGCAGTCCAACTTGACTTGTGAGTCATTATAGTTGTTAGACTAGTTAGTTTCTTGTAGGCTTTAACTCCTGCTGCCATAGGACTAATGAATATCTGTAGAAGTCGTCGAAATGCAACCAAGTTAGCGGTTTGAATATGGTGCTGCTGTGATAAGGCTACGAGATTGATTCATCCATAATAAAACCATCCACTTCACATTTTTTGCCAACCACAACCAGCTCTTAGTTGAAATGAGTTCATTCGTTTATATATGGAACGAACTACAGCTTTCGACAAGCAAATTTACAACACCATATAGGGCATGTTAAAACTACTTATTTGCCCCACTAGGCTTCAAAGGTGTAAGAGGGTTATAAATTGTGGATGCAAATTTATTCCTCCTTGATCTTGGACAAAAATGCACCTACAAAATAAATAACACATTTGGTTATGGCCACAAGCCTCACGCGCCCACGATAAATGGGGGGGGGCTTTGGCCGAAGAACCTCCGATGCCAAAGTTAGAATTTAGAGAGAAATAGTGTTTAGAGAATTTTGGGATTTTTGCAAGTGTATTGGACTTAGTGTTTGGTGAAAATGGGAACCAATATATAGGAGAGGAAGGGTGTGGCCGGCCATTAGGCCAATGATGAGTTATTTTGGGAGGTTATGGAGATAATGGGCTAGTTATTTTGGGGGGTTATGGAAATAATTGGCTAGTTAATTAGCAAATAATAATAACCTAATTAACTAGCTATTTGAATGTCATAAAAGGGGAAGAAAATGGTAGCAAAAAACAGAAAATAAAAGGCATGGCCGGCCCTAGTGGGTAACCGGCCTTTGGTAAGTTTTTTGGTTATAATTTGGTGGTTTAATTGATAATTAAGGGATTGATTAGGTAATTAATCCCTTAATTAGTCAATTTTAGGAAATATGAAAGGAATATATTATTTAGCTAATAAATTAGCTAAATAATGGAATATAGAACATATAGAATAAATTAGATTTTGGGAATTACCTTATAGAAAGGATTTGATGAAATAGGCTTTAAATTGTTACCTATTTTGGGCACTTTTGACTTGGTTGAAAGATGATTGCCCACTACTCGTGCGTAGGAATCCCGGTATGCCTCAAGGGTATTTTTGTCCTCTTTTGTCCAAAAAACCACGTGGCGCCTAGTGAATATTTTTGGCTCCACATAAATCAATTTGTGATTTAGTTGGAGGATCCAAAACTTTAAGGTCACCATCAGTGGCGAAGCCAGAATTTGTTGGGGGGAGGGGCGAACTTAAAGAGTGCAAGGTTAAAAAAATCGTAACAATCAAATCCTTTTATGGTAATGTTCTCCATAATTTATCAATACAAACAAATTACAATTGTTGCCGAAGACGTTTCATATCATGAAAACTTTGCATATTAGGCTCATTATAGTATCGTAACATTACGTAGCTGTATAATGCGAAGAAAAAAAAGTCTTAGATTCTTAATCTTAGAGTAGAATATACCATATGACTAATAACTAATTAAACCAACAATTTCAACTAATTAATATCAATATCATATAATTTATTCAATAAACAAAAATTCAATTAATCAATTAATCAATTAATCTATAATCAAGAATTAAATTTATACCCTACATAACAATTTCATTCATCAATAATTATAGAAGTTCTTATCAATAATCAATAATTAATAGTCATGTTGATCAATTACTCTATGATTCTATATAAATGAAACAAAATTTTGTATTAAATAATCAATTAGGGTTAGATATATAATATAAATTTAGAAATTAAAGATTTCATCTAAAAATTTGGAGAGAAGTGGCCAGCCAAACCAAAGGATGAGGCCTAGAAGCTGTGGGCTGGGAGGTGGCTTGAACTTTGGAATCAAGGAAAGCTAACGGCATGTTGCTGGTTGCTGCTGGGATTTGGAGAGCTGCTCCTCTCTTATTGGTTTGACATTGAAAGTGGGGAAGGAACAGGGGGTCTGGGATAGTGAAGGCCACGGGGGACGAGTGGTCTCCCTTTAATTATATAATTTTTTTTTTAAACTCAATAACCCAAATGACATCGTTCCACTTAAGGAAGTTTTTAAATTTTTTAACCAGGACCAAAATGACGTCGTTTTGGCCTAGTTTTTATAGAAAACAAAAATGAGCTTGCGAGCTGCAAGCTGCACAACAACAACAAACCCAGCAAACACAGACGAATTCCATCACTTCCGATGGGACCAGAGGGGCGGAGCTACTGTTCCTGGGCTTGATTTATGACAAGGGGAGTGGCGGACGCCACTTCTCGCCCTTATGTAGCTTTGCAACTAGTCACCATCCATTCCACTAGTTAAAAAAAACCCTTGCGCGACGAAACACATATCGTCGCGCAAAGTCTTGTGCGACGATATTTTGCATGACGAAACACATATTGTTGCGCAAAGTTTGCGCGACAAAATTTTGTGCAACGAAAAAACATCGTTGTGCAAAGTGACTTTGCACGATGAAATACTAAACTTCATCGCGCAAAGTCTTGCGCGACGAAACACACTTCGTAGTGCAAAGTCTTTACAAAAATAAATAAAATTTAAATCTTTGCTTGACGTAATCCAAATATTTCGTCGCCTAAACTAATTTATTTTCGTTTTTTATTTTGTATGTATAACACTTAAGAAATTGAACGGTATATATATTTATTAAGTAGCTTTAAATTTATTATTTTAGTTCGGATCGGGTTTTAATATATTATTGTAGTTTGGATCAGGTTTTTGTTAGAAAATATATATTTTAAATTGACGATCGAATTAGTTCATTGTATTCATATATGGTCAAGGAGTGTAGTTGTAAAAAATCATCAAAATTGGAGTTGAAATAACCGTTAAATTGTGATTTTTCGTTTATAACCATAGAAATGTTTTGTCCCATTACTTGATCTCTGAATGTTTGTTCTTTCCGATTTTTTGGCGTATATGATCTCGAAGTATATACAAACAAGTTTGATGGTTGGATCGTTGATACTAGTTTCGTAGAATGTGTATCCCATCAAAACAATAGATTCACTAACAATTAAGAGCTTATTTATAATTTCATTAAATATAACATAACATTTTGTGGTATCTAGTGTAAATATTTTCAATTGAAGATCAAATTCAATCATTGTATTCATATAGGGTTAGGGAGTGTAGCTATTAAAAAATCATCAAAATCGGAGTTAAAATAACCGTTAAATCGTGATTTTTCATTTATAACAGTCGAAAAGTTTTGTCCCGTTACTAGATCTCTGCATGTTTGTTTTTTGCGATTTTTTGCGTAAGCGATCTCGAAATATATACAAACAAGTTTGACGGTTGGATCTTTGAAACTAGTTTTGTAGAA